AAACCTGCTCCAGAGTGCTCATCAACCTTATCTTAAAGGTATACAGTGCATTCGCAAACTATTCAGAACCCTTCACTTTTTCCACTTTTTCCAAATTTTCTTACTTTACAGCCTTATTCTAAAATTGAGTAAATAAACATTTTCCGTCCTCAATCTACACACAATACCCCATAATGACAAAGCGAAAAAACGTTTTTAGATTTGTTAGCAAATTTATTAAAAATAAAAAAAAGTATTCAGACCGTTTTCTATGAGACTCGAAATTAAGCTCAGGTGCATCCTGTTTCCATTGATCATCCTTAAGATGTCTCTACAACTTCATTGGAGTCCACCTGTGGTCAATTCAATTGATTGGACATGATTTGGAAAGGCACTGTCACGATCGTCGACAGATGCGGACCAAGGCGCAGCGTGATAGGCGTACATACTTTATTAAGTGTACACAACAAGAACCAAAACAACAAAACGATACGTGAAGTCCTAGGTCATAACACAAACCTTACGGAACAAGATCCCACAATGACTAGTGAAAACAGGCTGCCTAAGTATGGTTCCCAATCAGAGACAACGAGCTACAGCTGCCTCTGATTGGGAACCACCCTGGCCAACATAGATCTAACCGATCTAGAACGAAAACCATAGCAAACAAAACATGGAAAATCCACACCCTGGCTCAACAATTAAGAGTCCCCAGAACCAGGGCGTGACAGTACCCCCCCCCCCCCAAAGGCGCGGACTGCGACCGCGCCAACCAAACACAAGAGGGTAGGGGCCGGGTGGGCATTCCGCCTCGGAGGCGGATCCGGCTCCGGGCGTGACCACCACACTCTCTCTACCCCCCGTTGCGCCCCTGGTCTGGTCCCGCTGGCCGGAGCTGGACTGAACACCGGTGGAGCGGATTGCTCTGGCTCCGGCGTGGAGCAGCTGACCGGTGCCGGACCAGGCACCGGTGGAACAGGCACGGACCGTGCCGGACTGACGACGCGCACCACTGGCTTGGTGCGGGGAGCAGGAACGGGCCGGACCGGGCTGACGACGCGCACCACTGGCTTGGTGCGGGGAGCAGGAACGGGCCGGACCGGGCTGACGACGCGCACCATTGGCTTGGTGCGGGGAGCAGGAACGGGCCGGACCGGGCTGACGACGCGCACCATTGGCTTGGTGCGGGGAGCAGGAACAGGCCGGACCGGGCTGACGACGCGCACCATTGGCTTGGTGCGGGGCGCAGGAACAGGCCGGACCGGGCTGGCGACGCGCACCACTGGCTTGGTGCGGGGAGCAGGAACAGGCCGGACCGGGCTGGCGACGCGCACCACTGGCTTGGTGCGGGGAGCAGGAACAGGCCGGACCGGGCTGGCGATGCGCACCACTGGCTTGGTGCGGGGAGCAGGAACGGGCCGGACCGGGCTGACGACGCGCACCATTGGCTTGGTGCGGGGAGCAGGAACAGGCCGGACCGGCTGGCGACGCGCACCACTGGCTTGGTGCGGGGAGCAGGAACGGGCCGGACCGGGCTGACGACGCGCACCACTGGCTTAGTGCGGGGAGCAGGAACGGGCCTGACCGTACTGGGAACACACACCACTGGCCTTGTGCGGGAATCAGGAACGGGCCGGACCGGACTGGTGACACACACCACTTGCTTGGTGCGAGGAGCGGAACTGGGTTTTCTCATAAACCTCCGCTCCCTCTGCTGCCTAACCAGTTCCTCTCGAAGTTGGCTCAACAATTAAGAGTCCCCAGAACCAGGGCGTGACAGGCACACACCTGTCTATATAAGGACCCACAGTTGACAGTGCATGTCAGAGAAAAACCAAGCCATGAGGTCAAAGGAATTGTCCGTAGAGCTCCGAGACAGGATTGTGTAGAGGCACAGATCTGAGGAAGGGTACCAAAACATATCTGCAGTATTGAAGGTCCCCAAGAACACAGTGGCCTCCATCATTCTTAAATGGAATAAGTGTGGAACCACCAAGACTCTTCCTAGAGCTGGCCGCCCGGCCAAACTGAGCAATCGGGGGAGAAGGGCCTTGGTCAGGGAGGTGACCAAGATCCCAATGATCACTGACAGAGCTCCAGAGTTCCTATGGGGAGATGGGAGATCCTTCCAGAAGGACAACCATCTCTGCAGCACTCCACCAATCAGGCCTTTATGGTAGAGTGACCAGACAGAAGCCATTCCTCAGTAAAAGGCCTGTGACAGCCCGCTTGGAGTTTGCCAAAAGGCACCTAAAGAATCTCAGACCATGAGAAACAAGATTCTCTGATCTGATTAAACCAAGATTGAACTCTTTTGCCTGAATGCCAAGCTTCACGTGTGGAGGAAACCTGGCACCATCCCTACGGTGAAGCATGGTGGTGGCAGAATCATGCTGTGGGGATGTTTTTCAGCGGCAGGGACTGGGAGTCTGGTCAGGACTGAGGGAAAGATGAACAGAGCAAAGTACAGAGAGATCCTTGATGAAAACCTGCTCCAGAGCGCTCAGGACCTCAGACTGGGGTGAAGGTTCACCTTCCAACAGGACAACGACCCTAAGCACACAGCCAAGACAATGCAGGAGTGGCTTTGGGACAAGTCTCTGAATGTCCTTAAGTGGCCCAGCCAGAGCCCGGACTTGAACCCAATCGAACATCTCTGGAGAGACCTGAAAATATATATTTTTAATACATTTGCTAAAATCTCTAAAAACCTGTTTTGCTTTGTCGTTATGGGGTATTGTGTGTAGATTGATGAGGGGAAAAAACAATTAAATACATTTTAGAATAAGGCTGTAATGTAACAAAATGTGGAAAAAGTCAAGTGGTCTAAATACTTTCCGAATGCATTGTAAATGCTTTGTTTTGCTTAGGTTAAAGTTGTTCCACTAAACTACACTGCTAAAAAAAATAAAGGGAACACTTAAACAACACATCCTAGATCTGAATGAATTAAATAATCTTATTAAATACTTTTTTCTTTACATAGTTGAATGTGCTGACAACAAAATCACACAAAAATTATCAATGGAAATCAAATTTATTAACCCATGGAGGTCTGGATTTGGAGTCACCCTCAAAATTAAAGTGGAAAACCACACTACAGGCTGATCCAACTTTGATGTAATGTCCTTAAAACAAGTCAAAATGAGGCTCAGTAGTGTGTGTGGCCTCCACGTGCCTGTATGACCTCCCTACAATGCCTTGGCATGCTCCTGATGAGGTGGCGGATGGTCTCCTGAGGGATCTCCTCCCAGACCTGGACTAAAGCATCCGCCAACTCCTGGACAGTCTGTGGTGCAACGTGGCATTGGTGGATGGAGCGAGACATGATGTCCCAGATGTGCTCAATTGGATTTAGGTCTGGGGAACGGGCGGGCCAGTCCATAGCATCAATGCCTTCCTCTTGCAGGAACTGCTGACACACTCCAGCCACATGAGGTCTAGCATTGTCTTGCATTAGGAGGAACCCAGGGCCAACCGCACCAGCATATGGTCTCACAAGGGGTCTGAGGATTTCATCTCGGTACCTAATGGCAGTCAGGCTACCTCTGGCGAGCACATGGAGGGCTGTGCGGCCCCCCAAAGAAATGCCACCCCACACCATGACTGACCCACCGCCAAACCGGTCATGCTGGAGGATGTTGCAGGCAGCAGAACGTTCTCCACGGCGTCTCCAGACTCTGTCACGTCTGTCACATGTGCTCAGTGTGAACCTGCTTTCATCTGTGAAGAGCACAGGGCGCCAGTGGCGAATTTGCCAATCTTGTTGTTCTCTGGCAAATGCCAAACGTCCTGCACGGTGTTGGGCTGTAAGCACAACCCCCACCTGTGGACGTCGGGCCCTCATACCACCCTCATGGAGTCTGTTTCTGACCGTTTGAGCAGACACATGCACATTTGTGGCCTGCTGGAGGTCATTTTGCAGGGCTCTGGCAGTGCTCCTCCTGCTCCTCCTTGCACAAAGGCGGAGGTAGCGGCCCTGCTGCTGGGTTGTTGCCCTCCTACGGCCTCCTCCACGTCTCCTGATGTACTGGCCTGTCTCCTGGTAGCGCCTCCATGCTCTGGACACTACGCTGACAGACACAGCAAACCTTCTTGCCACAGCTCGCATTGATGTGCCATCCTGGATGAGCTGCACTACCTGAGCCACTTGTGTGGGTTGTAGACTCCATCTCATGCTACCTCTAGAGTGAAAGCACCGCAAGCATTCAAAAGTGACCAAAACATCAGCCAGGAAGCATAGGAACTGAGAAGTGGTCTGTGGTCACCACCAGCAGAACCACTTCTTTATTGGGGGTGTCTTGCTAATTGCCTATAATTTCCACCTGTTGTCTATTCCATTTGCACAACAGCATGTGAAATCTATTGTCAATCAGTGTTGCTTCCTAAGTGGACAGTTTGATTTCACAGAAGTGTGATTGACTTGGAGTTACATTGTGTTGTTTAAGTGTTCCCTTTATTTTTTTGAGCAGTGTATATTTTGGTATTTTTTTCATTAGTCCACTGTTAAATACAGTCCCAAAATGCATCATACAGTCTCATAATGCATCATATGATGCAAAACGCATCATCATGATGATGTGGCAAGTGACACTTTTCTTTTTGAAAGTCCAATATCTTGAAAACCTGTCTGCTGACGTCCAAAACATTTTGGGACTGTATTAACAGTGGACTAATGAAAAAAATACCAAAAGATACACTGAGTGTACAAATATTATGAATGAACTTTTTCCATGACATAGACTGACCAGGTGAATCCAGGTGAAAGCTATGATCCAATATTGATGTCACTTGTTAAATCCACTTCAATCATGAATGCTTTCGACACCTTGTAGAGTCCATGCCCTGACCAATTGAGGCTGTACTGATGGCAAAAGAGGGGGGGAACTCAATATTAGGAAGGTGTTCTTAATGTTTTGTACACTCAGTGTAATTCTTTAGTGGATTTTTCCTGTAATTCACATTACTCAAGTTTCAATTTCAAAATAGTGTCTATATGAAATCAAATAATTTGGATTTACCTGAATGGCAGCCATAAAGTGCCCAGTTGGAGCAGCAGGCTGGTAGGAGATGATCACTTGGTTAGGCTTGGTCTCAGCCATGTAGCGGGCCATTCTCTTCTTGTATTGGTTTGTGAGGAATTCAACACACGGTGGCTTGCTCTGGGCTGGGGCCACATATAGTGGCTTGGTGGCCACAATGCAGCCGTTCATCTCCACCACAGCCTTGGTGGTCTCCTTGGGGGGAGGAGAGGCCCACAAAGCCAAAGCCTTTACTTTGGCCACCCTCCGTCATCATCACCTTGGCACTGGTGATAGTCCCGAAATGAGAGAACTCCTTATGTAGCTTATCATCGTCAATGCTATCTTCCAGATATTTTATATAGAGGTTCACTCCATGATGTCTGGTCTGTTTCAGTTCTGCCTGACGCTTTCATCTGGGCTCGACCCACATAGAGCCGCTTCCCGTTCAGCTCCATGCCATTCATCTGATCCACAGCCTGAGGTGGTCAGATACACTCCAATTAGACACTGGACTCACAGACACTGAGTTTTAACTCGCATCTAGAAAGTGGGATTGCACCACTTATCGTCTGTGCATCCTCATGACTCTCAAAGTTGACAAAACCGAACCCTTTGGACTTCCTGTTGTCATTGGTCATTATCTTGAGACTTTCAGAGTCATGAGGATGCACAGAAGATAAGTAATACAAACATAATCACCCGCAACTCAATAAAAGGACCAACTAAACGCACAAGACACCCAAGATACTATAACGTTTAAGACATATAAGTCACATCTGGCAAACACTCACCAAATACGTCTATGCGACCAATAAAATGTGATTTGATTTGATTTGACCATATCCAAAGAGCTGTCTCAACTTGTAGTCATTGACATCCTGACCAAAGTTATTAATGTAGACATTGGTGAAGTCTTTGGCCCTGGCACTGGACCTGGTTCCAGCCTCTCGCTCGTTAAGAGATTTGAAAGGTCCAATGAAGACTTTTTTTCTCTTCTAGGAGCATTCCGTTTAATTTTGTTATGGCTCTTTCAGAAGCCTCTGTGTTGTATTGGACTAAGGCAGTGTCTTTAGATTGCCCATTCTTATCATAAACCAGCTGGAGACAGTGTCTCTGAAGGCAAAGAAGGTATCGTACACATCTTTGTTGCAGATGGTCTTGTCCAGGTTCTTTCTCAAGGATTGGTCATGCTGAGACCACATGATCCGCATTTATGTTGTATTTTATTTAACCTTTATTTAACTAGGCAAGTCAGTTAAGAACAAATTCTTACTTACAATGACGGCCTACAACTGCCAAACCCGGACGACCCTGGGCCAATTGTGCGCCTCCCTATGGGACTCCCAATCACGGCCAGTTGTGATACAGTTTGGAATCGAACCAGGGGGTCTGTAGTGACGCCTCAAGCACTGAGATGCAGTGCCTTAGACCGCTGCGCCACTCGGGAGCCCAGTGGGTAGGGCTTCCATGGATGGGGCTTCCATGGATGGTTATAAAGTTGATCATGTTCAGGGCACGCTCAGCATCGGTTGGGTTAATTATAACATATTTGACATAACCGTATACGAGTGAACAAAGGATTATTTTGTTCCGAGCGACCCGGATGGAGCAGTTGTGGTTGGTGCCATTTAAGATGATAGCTTTACGCTACTACATGATACTCTCATTTTCCCTATACCCATCATGAGGTTGCTACAACCTAGCCTATTAATAAACGTTTACAAATATAGCTAGCTCTCTCTCTCTCTCTTGCTTCTCCTTCTTCATTTATAAATAAATAAATTTGATCAAAACTATTGTCTTTCTCTCTCTTTGAGTCAACTACTCACCACATTTTATGTACTGTAGTGCTAGCTACCTGTAGATTATGCTTTCAGTATTAGATTAATTCTCTGATCCTTTGATTGGGTGGACAACATGTCAGTTCATGCTGCAAGAGCTCTGATAGGTTGGAGGACGTCCTCCGGAAGTTGTCATAATTACTGTGTAAGTCTATGAAAGGGGGTGAGAACCATGAGCCTACTAGGTTTTGTATTGAAGTCAGTGTACACAGAGGAGGGCGGAAACTAGCTGTCCTCCAGCTACACCATTGTGCTACACTACAGAGTGCTGTTGAGGCAACTGTAGACCTTCATTGCAAAACAGTGTGTTTTAATTAATTATTTGGTGATGTGAATATATTTAGTATAGTTTTATCTAAAAAGGATAACTTTCTTTATGTTTCACTATTTATATTTTTATGAAATTCACTGAGGAGGATGGTCCTCCCCTTCCTCCTCTGAGGAGCCTCCACTGGGATGGAGTGTATATCCCCGATAGGCCTGAACTTGTAAAATAAGACCGCGCTAGTGACCTCTTGGTGGAGATCACCAACATACAGGGAGACCCTGGGGTTTCTGGGCCCGCTGGGAGCCATGTATGATGGAGCATACATTCTTGTGGTGTTCACGTTGGTTTGTTTGCAAGTCCTTCTTTTTTTTCTTTACAAATCTTGTAAAGTTTATGTTTTAGCTGCTGATCGATGGTTGCTCAAGAGAACAGAATGACAGGAGGATGATAGAATGTCAGGTGTTGGAACCCCTGGAACTCCTGGAACCCCTAGAACAACTAGAACTCCTGGAACTCCTGGAACCCCTGGAACTCCTGGAACCCCTGGAACCCCTAGAGCCCCTGGAACTCCTGGAACCCCTAGATCCCCTAGAACTCCTGGAACCCCTGGAACCCCTGGAACTCCTGGAACCCCTAGATCCCCTAGAACTCCTGGAACCCCTGGAACTCATTGAACCCATAGAACTCCTGGAACCCCTAGATCTCCTGGAACCCCTGGAACCCCTAGAACTCCTGGAACTCCTGGAACCCCTAGAGCCCCTGGATCTCCTGGAACTCCTGGAACCCCTAGAACCCCTGGAACCCATAGAACTCCTGGAACTCCTGGAACTCCTGGAACCCCTAGAACCCCTGGAACTCCTGGAACCCCTGGAACTCCTGGAACCCCCTCGTTTGTTATGTCATAAGTCATGTTAGATCAAATAGAATCTATCCAATTACAATACTTTCTTTATTGCATCATAGTCAGTTAGACAACATGATTTACATTGCAAATACAAAATATAAAAAGAACGAAATACACAAACACAGTAGGCCTAAGCTTACATATAAATAGCAAATAACCTGTCAAAAAATACCATTTGTACAGCAGGACTTCCCAGTTCAGCTTTCCATTCCAGTTAAATACATGTATTTCAGTTTAAAATTACATTGTTGATTATGGTATTTGGTTACGGTTTTCAACAAAATAAAAGACATACAGTGGAATCAGTTTCGTTGCGTTATTTGGTCTGCTCTGTTCGACTACCTCAATCATCATGTGATACATCATCCACAGCACACGACTAAAGTAAAATACAGCTTAATGACTCTGTGCGTGTCGGTGTGTGTGTGTAGGTTTTGCAGGTACCCCAGGCTACCTATCTCCAGAGGTACTGAGGAAGGAGGCCTATGGTAAACCTGTAGACATTTGGGCCTGTGGTGAGTACAGATCACTTTATTATCTCTCTGTCTTATCCCTCTCTCCATCTCTCTCTCACCCTCTCTCTTCAATATCTCCTGCCCCTCTCACCACTCAACGTGTGTGTGTGTGTGTGTGTGTGTGTGTGTGTGTGTGTGTGTGTGTGTGTGTGTGTGTGTTTATGTATAGGTGTGATCCTGTACATCCTGCTAGTGGGGTATCCTCCATTTTGGGATGAGGACCAACACAAACTCTACCAGCAAATCAAAGCAGGAGCCTATGACGTGAGTTTTACATACACACACACACACACACACACACACACACTCACATGCAAGCGCACACTCACAAGCACACACACACTCTGTCACCTCTGTCTATCAATCTGTTTGACAAAAGGGAGGGTGTGTGTCTGTGTGTGTGTCTGTGTGTGTGTCTGTGTGTGTGTCTGTGTTTGTGTGTGTGTTTTTGCATATGTGTGTGTGTGTGTGTGTGTATGTGTATGTTTGTGTGTATGTAGTTTCCGTCTCCAGAGTGGGACTCGGTGACTCCAGAAGCCAAGAACCTGATTAACCAGATGTTGACTATTAACCCTGCCAAGAGGATAACTGCCCAGGAGGCCCTCAAACACCCATGGGTCTCCGTAAGTACACACACACACACACACACACACACACACTTTTCCTCTCTGTTTGACATTGTCTATCTCTCTCTCTATCTCTCTCCAGCAACGCTCCACGGTGGCGTCCATGATGCACAGACAGGAGACAGTGGAGTGCCTGAAGAAGTTCAACGCCAGGAGGAAACTCAAGGTCTGCTCTCTCTTAATAATCTCATAATCCACAGGAATACCTTCACTTTAAACATATGTGAGCCTTCTCACTAACCTAGTAACCTACCACTCACCCAGTCTCTTTATTTCTCTATTCCTCTCTCTCTTCCCGTCTCGCTCTCTCTCTCCTAATCTCTCTTTCGCTCTCTCTCTCCCCCCATCTCTCTTCCTCTCTCTGTCCATAGGGAGCAGTCCTGACTGCTATGCTGGTGACGAGGAATTTCTCCGGTAAATGTGTGTGTCTTCATTAACACTTCCACGCATGCACAGCAGGTTGGCATTTATTGGGATGACTCGTGTACTGGAGGCATCTCTGCAGAGTGGTGACTAGCTGGCACAGCCACAAAGTCATACAATCTGATTCTAAACCTAACCTTAACCCCAACCACACTGCTAACCCTAATGCCTAACCCTAACCTTAAATTAAGTTTTCATGAATCTTTACAATATAGCCAATTTCTGCTTTGTAGCTCGCCAATCTAGCGGAAATCGCTCAGTTCTGCCTCCAGGGCAAGATTCATGACAATAAACGTCAAACCGCGCATGCATGCATGCTACAGTCACACACACACCCACACAAACACCCTCTCTTTCTCATTATCACAAATTGAGTTTCACCTCCAATTTACTAAGTTTGACTACAATGGTAACCTGCATGGATCATTACATGTTGCTCTTCCACTTAGGGGTGTGAACTTTTAAACTTTAAAAAGTTTAAATGAAATAGGGATCTTTAAAGTTAATATTTAATTTTTCCCCACACAATTTAAATCACAGTGCAGTTATCACCAAACATGTTCTTTGCCGTGTTATAGCCTAACTAGACGATAGGCTATAAAGGCCTGGGGAAAGTTGTGCCATTTTAAATAAAACCAAAAAGGCGAACTTTAGGTTACTTTGGTGAATTTGCGAGGCATTGCAAGACAAGACATTGCGAGATACAGATTCCCAAAACATATGCGCACAGTTCTTTCTGCCTGCCCCCTCCTCTCTCTCCCTCACGTTGGCTCGCCTACTTTTTCTCTTTGCTAATGATACGCGTTCGTGTTCATTCTTTGGTCTGTTGCGTGTAGAATATCCTAGCCTATTCATTGAAGATGGTTCCTGCTTTACTGAAGTTGCCAGACATTGCAAGATACAGCATTCCATTGCAAGGTACAGCTTTTGATTACCGATTGAACAGTTCTGAATCTGTCTGCCTAGTGGCCGACCTGCCTATACTCCTCTCTCCGTCCATCGCTAGCTCGCTATGCAAGTGTTCGTGTTCTTGGAAGTACAGCAACTAATCAGTGTCCTCCGTTCCAAAAACACTGAATCTTAGGAGTCGATGAGTCACTCAGAAATGGGAGTTGACACCTGGAGTCGATGTGCAAGAAGTCGGGGAATCTATTATTTTGGAGTCGACTCTCCACCACTACGTCATTGTCGTTAACAGTTGGAAAAAAGACAGAGAAAGGCAAATGACAGCAGTGAAGTCCTACATGGCAATACTTTAAGAAGTTAAATGAGAAGGTGGTGGAATTGAAGTACAGTAATGGTAGTACAGGTGCAATTCTTAACTATCTGAAAGGGACGCACCGTGAGACCCAAACAAATCCTGGCAGCAGCGCAGGCCCCCAACAACAGACATTAGACAAGTTCACACGAAAGCCTACTTTATGACTGTCGTAAATAGAAGTTAATTGAGCGCAATAGCAATTGTGGAATTTTAGGAATGTTTATTTTCGCTTTAACAGAAAACCTATGGCCGTTTAAACTTTAAAGGGATAGTTCACCCAAATTACAAAATTACATAGTGGTTTCCTTACCCTGTAAGCAGTCTATGGAAAAGGTATGACAGCAATCCATGTTTTGGTTTAGTTTCCCAGGCACTGTTTCCAAATGCTAACATTTTAGCATTTGTGGCACAAATGCAATTCAACTCATGGAACGGATATTAGCATGTTTTACGCATTATGTCGAAATAATCCGAAAGTATCTAAAATTGATTGTGAAGCTCACCAAAGTCACTTATAGATTATTTGACCATGATGTGCGAGAAATGCTAATATCAGTCCCATGACTTGAGTGGGATTTGTTCCACAAATATAAAACGTTAGCATTTAGAAACAAATCAAATTTGTGGTGTGGACTAACAGTGAAATGCTTACTTACCGGCCCTTCCCAACAATGCAGAGAGAAAGAAAATAGAGAAATATTAGAAAAGTAAAACACGTAATAATAGATACACAATGAGTAACGATAACTTGGCTACTATATACAAAAGGGTACCAGTACCGAGTCAATGTGCAAGGGTATGAGGTAATTGAGGTATGTGGACACAACTTCAAATTAGTGGATTCGGCTCGCCACCATTGGACTCTGGAGCAGTGTAAACACGTTCTCTAGAGAGATGAATCACACTTCACAATCTGGCAGTCCGACGAACGAATCTGGGTTTGGCGGATGCCAGGAGAACGCTACCTGCCCAAATGCATAGTGCCAACTGTAAAGTTTGGTGGAGGAGGAATAATGGTCTGGGGCTGTTTTTCATGCTTCGTCTAGGCCCCTTAGTTCCAGTGAAGGGAAATCTTAATGCTATAGTATTCAATGACATTCTAGATGATTCTTTGCTTCCATCTTTGTGGCAAGGCCCTTTCCTGTTTCAGCATGACAATGCCCCCATGCACAAAGCGAGGTCCATACAGAAATCGTTTGTCGAGATCGGTGTGGAAGAACTTGACCGGCCTGCACAGAGCCCTGACCTCAACCCCAATGAACACCTTTGGGATGAATTGGAACGCCGACTGCGAGCCAGGCCTAATCGCCCAACATCAGTGCCCGACTTCACTAATGCTCTTGTGGCTGAATGGAAGCAAGTTCCAGCAGTAATGTTCCAATATCTAGTGAAAAGCCTTCCTAGAAGAGTGGAATGAGATGTTCATATACTGTTTGCCATATAGTGTAGATATGTACATATAACTAGGAATAAAGTGACATATAGTAAACAGTAGCAGCAACGTATGTGATGAGTCAAAAAAGTTAGTGCAAAAAGGTTGAATGCAGATAGTCTGGGTAGCTATTTGGTTAACTATTTAACTAACTATTTAGCAGTCTTATGGCTTGGGGGTAGAAGCTGTTCAAGGTCCTGTTGGTTCTAGACTTCAAGTCAGAGAACAGTCTCTGACTTGAAGAGAGGAGTGCCAGCCACTGCCAGGGAAAGTAAACCAAAGCATGGATTTCTGTCATACCTTGTACATAGACTGTTTACAGGGTAAGGAAACCTATGTGTAATTTGGTTGAACTATCCCTATAAGAAATGTTTTCCATTTGTCACTTCCTCTGCACTCACACTGTGTTTGCCGACCCAGGTAAGAGGGGAGTGAGACTTGTGACTCGACTCTTGGCCCTTATTCATTAAGTGTCTCAGAGTAGGAGTGCTGATCTGATATCCGTTTTGCCTTTTAGATTATAATGAATGGACAGGGGGGGACCTGATCCTAGATCAGCACTCCTACTCTGAGACGCTTGACTTACCTTGGACCTAATGTGACTTCAATCTGTCCTCCTCTTCACACTAACACACTCCTCTCTTCTCCTCCCTCGCTCCTTTCCCCTTTTCTGTTATTTGCTTTCACTTGCTCTCTGTCTTCCTCTATTTCTATCTCTGCATCAGTTGGTAGACAGTCTACATCTCCTGCATCAATCACTACTGTGTCTGAAACTACCGCTGGGATAGTGGAGCAAGGTATCCTCTTCCTCTCCTCCCTCCACCACTCGCTTCTATACCTCCTCCTCCACATTTATACCTTTTCTCCTCTCTTCTTCTTCGCTCCTCTCCCTCACACTCCCTTCCTCATCCTACCCTTTTGCACTTCTCGTGTTCTTCCTCTCCTCCACTGCCTCGCTATCATCCCTCCCCTCTAATGAATAAGGCATGTCCATCTCCACATCCTCCCTCCCTCCCTCCCACCCACCCACTCTCCCACTCTCCCACTCACCCACCCGCTCTCTACCTCCCTCCCTCCCACCCACCCACTCTCCCACTCACCCACCCACCCACCCACCCACCCACTCTCTACCTCCCTCCCTCACACCCAGCCACTCTCTCTCAACCTCCCTCCCTCCCACCCACCCACCCACCCACTCTCCCACTCTCCCACTCTCCCACCCACTCTCTCCCTCCCACCCACCCACCCACCCACTCTCCCACTCACTCACCCACCCACTCTCTACCTCCCTCCCTCACACCCAGCCACTCTCTCTCTACCATGCTTTAGTCTTTTGTATCTTTGGAGTCGTTTTCTGTCTTTCTTTTTCTGCCTTTTGTTCCCTCCCTCATGAGCAGTGGGTTAGGTGTATGAGGTGTGTTTGCTGTGTGTCATAAATACAGGTAACTGCCAAACTAAACTTTACGCTTGAGTAAATGACGGATACAAAGTATATTGAAAGCAGGTTCTTCCACACGTGTGGTTCCTGAGTTAATTAAGTAATTCACATCCCATCATGCTGAGGGTCATGTATAAAAATGCCCAGTTGCCCATTATTTTGGCTACCATGGTTAGAAGAAGAGATTGACTTTGAAAGAAGGGTGTCAAAGGAGCATAGGGGGTGTAAAGTCAGTCAGTATGTCAGTCACCAGATCTCAATCCAATTGAAAACTTATGGGAGATTCTGGGCCGGCACTTGAGACAACGTTTTCCACCATCATCAACAAAACACCAAATGATGGAATTTCTTGTGGAAGAATGGTGTCACATCCCTCCAATAGAGTTCCAGGCTTGTAGAATCTATGCCAAGGCACATGAAAGCGTTTCTGGCGGCTCGTGGTGACCCAACGCCCTATTAAAAAATCCTTTATATTTGTGTTTCCTTTATTTTGGCAGTTACCTGTGTGTGTGTGTATATATGTATATATATATATATATATATATATATATATATATATATATATATATATACTACCAGTCAAAAGTTTGGACACACCTACTCATTTAAGGGTTTTTCTTTATTTTTACAATGTTCTACATTGTAGAATAATAAGACATCAACTATTGAATAACACATATGGAATTATGTAGTAACCAAAAAAGTGTTAAACAAATCTAAATATGTTTTATATTTGAGATTCTTCAAATAGCCACCCTTCGCCTTGATGACAGTTTTGCACACTCTTGGCATTCTCTCAACCAACTTCATGAGGTAGTCACCTGGAATGCATTTCAATTAACAGGTGTGCCTTGTTAAAAGTTAATTTGTGGAATTTCTTTCCTTCTTAATGCGTTTGAGCCAATCAGTTGTGTTGTGACAAGGTAGGGTGGTATACAGAAGATAGCCGTAGTTGGTAAAAGACCAGCTCAAATAAGCAACGAGAAACGACAGTCCATCAGTACTTTAAGACATGAAGGTCAGTCAATACGGGACATTTAAAAAACTTTTTTTTCTTCAAGTGCGGTCGCAAAAACCATCAAGCGCTATGATGAAACTGGCTCTCATGAGGACCGCCACAGGAATGGAAGACCCAGAGTTACCTCTGCTGCAGAGGATAAGTTAATTAGAGTTACCAGCCTCAGAAATTGCAGCCCAAATATATGCTTCACAAAGTTAGTCACAGACACATCTCAACATCAACTGTTCAGAGGGGACTGTGTGAATAATAATAATAATAATAATATGCCATTTAGCAGACGCTTTTATCCAAAGCATGCATACATTTTTTGTGTATGGGTGGTCCCGGTGAATCAGGCCTTCATGGTCGAATTGCTGCAAAGAAACCAGTAGTAAAGGACACCAATAATAAGAAGAGGCCTGCTTGGGCCAAGAAACATGAGCAATGGGCATTAGACCGGTGGAAATTTGTCCTTTGGTCTGGAGTCCAAATTTGAGATTTTTGGTTCCAACCGCCGTGTCTTTGTGGGACGCGGTGTGGGTGAACGGATGATCTCCGCATGTGTAGTTCCCACTGTAAAGCATGGAGGAGGAGGTGTTATGGTGTGGGGGTGCTTTGCTGGTGACACTGTCTGTGATTTATTTAGAATTTAAGGCACACTTAACCAGCATGGCTACCACAGCATTCTGCAGCGATACGCCACCCTGTCTGGTTTTGGCTTAGTGGGACTATCATTTGTTTTTCAACAGGACAGTGACCCTCAGCATATGTGGGAACTCCTTCATGACTGTTGGAAAAGCATTCCAGATGAAGCTGGTTGAGAGAATGCCAAGAGTGTGCAAAGCTATCATCAAGGCAAAGGGTGGCTACTTTGAAGACTCTAAAATATAACATATCTTCATTTGTTTAACACTTATTTGGTTACTACATGATTCCATATGTGTTATTTCATAGTTTTGATGTCTTCACTATTATTCTACAATGTAGAAAATAGTACAAATATAGAAAAACCCTTGAATGAGAAGGTGTGTCCAAACTTTTGACTGGTACTGTGTGTATATATATATACACACACACACATAGTCAAAAGTTTGGACACACCAACAAATATTTTAGATTTTATATTCTTCAAAGTAGCCACCCTTTGCCTTGATGACAGCTTTGCACACTCTTGGCATTCTGTCAACCAGCTTCATGAGGAATGCTTTTCTAACAGTCTTGAAGGAGTTCCCACATATGCTGAGCACCTGTTGGCTGCTTTTCATTCACTCTGCGGTCCGACTCGTCCCAAACCATCCCAATTGCGTTGAGGTTGGGGAATTTTGGAGGCCAGGTCATCTGATGCAGCACTCATCACTCTCCTTCTTGGTAAAAAATAGCCCTTACACAGCCTGGAGGTGTGTTGGGTCAATGTCCTGTTGAAAAACAAATGATAGTCCCACTAAGCCAAAACCAGATGGGATTGCGTATCACTGCAGAATGCTGTGGTAGCCATGCTGGTTAAGTGCCTTGAATTCTAAATAAATCACAGACAGTGTCACCAGCAAAGCACCCCCACACCATTAAACGTCCTCCTCCGTGCTTCACTGTGGGAACCACACATGCGGAGATCATCCGTTCACCTACTCTGCGTCTCACAAAGACACGGCGGTTGGAACCAAAAATCTCAAATTTGGACTCATCAGACCAAAGGACAGATTTCCACCGGTCTAATGTCCATTGCTCGTGTTTCCTGGCCCAAGCAAGTCTCTTCTTATTATTGGTGTCCTTTAGTAGTGGTTTCTTTGCAGCAATTCCTGAGTGGCACAGCGGTCTAAGGCACTGCATCTCAGTGCTTGAGGCGTCACGACAGACCCCCTGGTTCGATTCCAGGCTGTATCACAACCGGCCGTGATTGGGAGTCCCATAGGGCGGCGCACAATTGGCCCAGCGTCGTCCGGGTTTGGCCGGTGTAGGCCGTCATTGTAAATAAGAATTTGTTCTTAACTGACTTGCCTAGTTAAATAAAGGTAAAATAAAAATGAAGGCCTGATTCACACAGTCCCCTCTGAACAGTTGATGTTGAGATGTGTCTGTTACTTGAACTCTGTGAAGCATTTATATGGGCTGCAATCTGAGGTGCAGTTAACTCTAATGAACTTATCCTCTGCAGCAGAGGTAACTCTGGGTCTTTCTTTCCTGTGAGAGCCAGTTTCATCATAGCACTTGATGGATTTTGCGACTGCCTTGAAGAAACTTTCAAAATTCTTGAAATGTTCCGTATTGACTGACCTTCATGTCTTAAAGTAATGATGGACTGTCATTTCTCTTTGCTTATTTGAGCTGTTCTTGCCATAATATGGACTTGGTCTTTTACCAAATAGGGCTATCTTCTGTATACCAACCCTACCTTGTCACAACCAAACTGATTGGCTCAAACGCATTAAGAAGGAAAGAAATTCCACAAATTAACTTTTAACAAGGCACACCTGTTAATTTAAATGCATTCCAGGTGACTACCTCATGAAGCTGGTTGAGAGAATGCCAAGAGTGTGCAAAGCTGTCATCAAGCTGTCAAAGGGTGGCTACTTTGAAGAATCTCAAATATAAAAAACACTGATTGAAGTGGATTTAACAAGTGACATCAATAAGGGATCATAGCATATTATTATTATTATTATAGCTTTCACCTGGATTCACCTGGTCAGTCTATGTCATGAAAAGAGCAAGTGTTCTTAATGTTTTGTACACTTAGTGTGTATATACAGTGCATTCAGAAAGTATTAAGACACCTTCCCTTTTTCTACATTTTGTTACGTTACAGCCTTATTCTAAAATGGATTAAATAAAACATTTTCCTCATCAGTCTACACACAATACCTGATAATGACAAAATGAAAACAGGTTTTTAGAAATTTCAGCAAATGTATAAAAAATCCTAAACAGAAATACCTTATTTAGATACGTTTTCAGACCCTTTGCTATGAGACACGAAATTGAGCTGTGGTCCATCCTGTTTCCATTGATCATCCTTGAGATGTTTCTACAACTTCATTGGAGTCCACCTGTGGTAAATTCAATTGATTGGACATGATTTGGAAAGGCACACACCTGTCTATTTAAGGTCCCACAGTTGACAGTGCATGTCAGAGCAAAAACCAAGCCATGAGGTCGAAGGAATTGTCCGTAGAGCTCAGAGACAGGATTTGTCGAGGATCAGATGTGGGGAAGGGTAGCAGAAAATGTCTGCAGCATTGAAGGTCCTCAAGAACACAGTGGCCTCCATCATTCATAAATGGAAGAAGTTTGGAACCACCAAGACTCTTCCTAGAGCTGGCCTCCCGACCAAACTGAGCAATCGGGGGAGAAGGGTCTTGGTCAGGGAGGTGACCAAGAACCCGATGGTCACTCTGACAGAGCTCTATAGTTTCCTCTGTTTAGATGGGAGAACCTTCCAGAATGACAACCATCTCTGCAGCACTCCACCAATCAAGCCTTTATGGTAGAGTGACCAGACAGAAGCCATTCCTCAGTAAAAGGCCTGTGACAGCCCGCTTGGAGTTTGCCAAAAGGCACCTAAAGAATCTCAGACCATGAAAAACAAGATTCTCTGGTCTGATGAAACCAAGAACTCTTTGGCCTGAATGCCAAGTGTCACGTCTGGAGGAAACCTGGCACCATCCCTATGGGGAAGCATGGTGTTGGCAGCATCATGCTGTGGGGATGTTTTTCAGCGGCAGGGACTGGGAAACTAGTCAGGATCGAGGCAAAGATGAACGGAGCAAAGTACAGAGAGATCCTTGATGAAAACCTGCTCCAGAGCGCTCAGGACCTCAGACCTGGGCGAAGGTTCACCTTCCAACAGGACAACGACCCTAAGCACACAGCCAAGACAACGCAAGAGTGGCTCTGGGACAAGTATCTGAATGTCCTTGAGTGGCCCAGCCAGAGCTCAGACTTGAACCCGATCTAACATCTCTGGAGAGACCTGAAAATAGCTGTGCAGCAACTCTCCCCATCCACCCTGACAGAGCTTGAGAGGATCTGCAGTTACGAATGGGAGAAACTCCCCAAATACAGGTGTGCCAAGCTTGTAGCGTCATACCCACGAAGACTCGAGGCTGTAATCGCTGCCAAAGGTGCTTCAACAAAGTACTGAGTGAAGGGTCTGAATACTTATGTAAATGTGATATTTCTGTTCTTTCTTTTTTTTTACTGTTTTTGTTTAATAATTATGGGGTATTGTGTGTAGATTGGGGGGGAACTATTCAATCAATTTTAGAATAAGGCCGTAACCTAACAAAATGTGGGGGTCAAGGGGTCTGAATACTTTCAGAGAGAGAGAGAGAGAGACTACAGAAAGATTAATAAACCTTCCTTAAAGAAATGCAAGCACTAATGAGTATCTATGTGTGCGTGCATATGTGTATGATCCTACTGTAATGTAAAGTGGTAGCCTCTAGTGGGTGCAAGATCTCATCTAGGCTTAATGTGCTCAGCTGGAAAATACACTCGTGTCCCCCGGTGACCGGTTCTTACATAAAACATCCTCCATTCAGGCTGCAAAGGCATCGGTTTCCACCTTAACTAGCTTTAATGGCGTGCCGCTGGGAAAAAAAACGAGTTAAATATGCATACTCTCTTAATACAGTTGAAGTCGGAAGTTTACTTACACTTAGGCTGGTGTCATTAAAACTCATTTTTTCAACCACTCCACAAATGTCTTATTAACAAACTATAGTTTTGGCAAGTCGGTTAGGACATCTACTTTGTGCATAACATAAGTAATTTTTCCAACAATTGTTTACAGACAGATTATTTCACTTATAATTCACTGTATCACAATTCCAGTGGGTCAGAAGTTTACATACACTAAGTTGACTGTGCCTTTTAAACAGCTTGGAAAATTCCAGAAAATGATGTCATGGCTTTAGAAGCTTCTGATAGGCTAATTGACATTTCTGAGTCAATTGGAGGTGTACCTGTGGATGTATTTCAAGGCCTACCTTCAAACTCAGTGCCTCTTTGCTTGACATCATGGGAAAATCAAAAGAAATCAGCCAAGACCTCAGAAAAAGAATTGTAGACCTCCACAAGTCTGATTCATCCTGGCGAGCAATTTCCAAACGCCTGAAGGTACCACGTTCATCTGTACAAACAATAGTATTCAAGGATAAACACCATGTGACCACGCAGCCGTCATAACGCTCAGGAAGGAGATGTTTTCTGTCTCCTAGAGATTAACATACTTTGGTGCGAAAAGTGCAAATCAATCCCAGAACAACAGCAAAGGACCTTGTGAAGATGCTGGAGGAAAGAGGTACAAAAGTATCTATATCCACAGTAAAACGAGTCCTATATCGACATAACCTGAAAGGCCGCTCAGCAAGGAAGAAGCCACTGCTTCAAAAACCCGCCATAAAAAAGCCAGACTACGGTTTGCAACTGCACATGGGGACAAAGATAGTACTTTTTGGAGAAATGTCCTCTGGTCTGATTAAACAAAAATAGAACTGTTTGGCCATAATGACCATCGTTATGTTTAGAGTAAAAAGGGGGTTCTTGCAAGCCGAAGAACACCATCCCAACCGTGAAGCACGGGGGTGGCAGCATCATGCTGTGGGGGTGCTTTGCTGCAGGAGTGACTGGTGCACTTCACAAAATAGATGGCATCATGAGGAAGGAAAATTATGTGGATATATTGAAGCAACATCTCAAGACATCAGTCAGGAAGTTAAAGCTTGGTCGCAAATGGGTCTTCCAAATGGACAATGACCCCAAGCATACTTCCAAAGTTGTGGCAAAATGGCTTAAGGACAACAAAGTTAAGGTATTGGAGTGGCCATCACAAAGCCCTGACCTCAATCCTATAGAAAATGTGTGGGCAGAACTGAAAAAGCGTGTGCGAGCAAGGAGGCCTACAAACCTGACTCAGTTACACCAGCTCTGTCAGGAGGAATGGGCCAAAATTCACCCAACTTATTGTGGGAAGCTTGTGGAAGGCTACCCGAAACGTTTGACCCAAGTTAAACAATTTAAAGTCAATGCTACCAAATACTAATTGAGTGTATGTAAACTTCTGACCCACTGGGAATGTGATGAAATAAATAAAAGCTGAAATAAATCATTCTCTCTACTATTATTCTGACATTTCACATTCTTAAAATAAAGTGGTGATCCTAACTGACCTAAGACAGGGAATTTTTACTAGGATTAAATGTCAGGAATTGTGAAAAACTGAGTTTAAATGTATTTGGCTAAGGTGTATGTAAACTTCCGACTTCAACTGTATAACACCATTTTCCACCACCATTTCCTGATCTTCGGACGACTTCCGGATGTTGCACACAGTGTTCAGGCAATCAGGTTGCAGCAGTCTGTTGTTTACCCCTGGCTGACCGCGGGGCGCAACGTCAGGAAGTACCATTACCCACTCTAGCAAGGTGGTGGAAAATTGTGTTTTATTAAGAGAGTACGCATATTTTAACAAAATAATTTTGCCAGCGGCGCACCATTAAAGCTAGTTAAGGAGGAAACCGATGCCTTTGCAGCCTGAATGGAGGATGTTTTATGTACAAACCGGTCACCGGGGGACAGGAGTGTATTACCGGCTGAGCACATTAAGCTTAGACAATAGTGGAGATCTAGCAGCTAGTAAAGTGTGCGTTCATCATCATTTGCATGGTGCTCCGTACTGTATTATATTCCTGTATTATATTCACGGAGTGGAATCCCCTAATCTGAATTAATCCCACCTGCCTCGGAGATTAACAAAGCCATTATTATACACCTGCTTCTCCATTCCATATTCCCCTGCCTTTTCTCCCCTAATCCCCTGTGTGTGTGTGTGTGTGTGTGTGTGTGTGTGTGTGTGTGGTGGGGGGGTGGGGGATAGGGGTATTGAGGGAGTATAAAATATAGTTTCATTATAGAGTAGGTCGCTGTTGTCACACAGTGAGAATGTGTGTGTGTGTGTTTATAAATGTTAGGGTTCGGTGTGTGTGTGCATGCTAGCAGACTGAGAGTTCAGTGTGTGTGTGTTAGCTAGCTAGGAGTAAGATAGGTATCGACACTCGTGCGTGTGTATGTTTGAGGTGTGTTTGAGTAAAAGAGTGTGTATGATGAGTACTTTACCCTCTGAGAGTGTGTTCTCAATCTCCTTTGCAGCCAAGAGTCTCCTCAACAAGAAGGCTGACGTCAAGGTAAGACGCAAAAACACGTGTATCCTCCCCTCTCCTCTCTGTTCTCTGTTCCCTCTCCCCTCTCTCCTCCTCCTGCAATTGACAGTGTTGTGTCGTGTTTTGTGGGCATGCTCTTTGGGTGTGTGTGTTTATTCTCACTCTTTGTGTACACTGGGCATTCTGTCTGTGTCGTGCGTGCGTGCGTGTGTGTGTTTGTTTGTGTGTGTGTGTGTGTGTGTGTGTGTGTGTGTGTGTGTAGCCTATTAGTCTGACTTTCCAGCATAGTCTGATGCGCTCTAGCTACAGTGAGGGGAAAAAAGTATTTGATCCCCTGCTGATTTTGTACGGTTGCCCACTGACAAAGAAATGATCAGTCTATAATTTTAATGGTAGGTTTATTTGAACAGTGAGAGACAGAATAACAACAAAAAAATCCAGAAAAACGCATGTAAAAAATGTTATAAATTTATTTGCATTTTAATGAGGGAAATAAGTATTTGACACCCTCTCAATCAGAAAAATGTCTGGCTCCCAGGTGTCTTTTATACAGGTAACGAGCTGAGATTAGGAGCACACTCTTTTTCTGGGAGTGCTCCTAATCTCAGTTTGTTACCTGTATAAAAGACACCTGTCCACAGAAACAATCAATCAATCAGATTCCAAACTCTTCACCATGGCCAAGACCTAAGAGCTCTCCAAGGATGACAGAGACAAGATTGTAGACCTACACAAGGCTAGAATGGGCTACAAGACCATCGCCAAGCAGCTTGGTGAGAAGATGACAACAGTTGGCACGATTATTCGCAAATGGAAGAAACACAAAAGACCTGTCAATCTCCATGCAAGATCTCACCTCATGGAGTTGCAATGATCATAGGAACGGTGAGGAATCAGCCCAGAACTACACGGGAGGATCTTGTCAATGATCTCAAGGCAGCTGGGACCATAGTCACCAAGAAAACAATTGGTAACACACTACGCCGTGAAGGACTGAAATCCTGCAGCGCCCGCAAGGTCCCCCTGCTCAAGAAACCACATATACAGGGCCGTCTGAAGTTTGCCAATGAACATCTGAATGATTCAGAGGAGAACTGGGTGAAAGTGTTGTGGTCAGATGAGACCAAAATCGAGCTCTTTGGCATCAACTCAACTCGCTGTGTTTGGAGGAGGAGGAATGCTGCCTATGACCCCAAGAACACCATCCCCACCGTCAAACATGGAGGTTGAAACATTATGCTTTGGAGGTGTTGTTCTGCTAAGGGGACAGGACAACTTCACTGCATCAAAGGGACGATGGATGGGGCCATGTACCGTCAAATCTTGGGTGAGAACCTCCTTCCCTCAGCCATGGCATTGAAAATGGGTCGTGGATGGGTATTCCAGCATGACAATGACCCAAAACACACGGCCAAGGCAACAAAGGAGTGGCTCAAGAAGAAGCACATTAAGGTCCTGGAGTGGCCTAGCCTGACTCCAGACCTTAATCCCATAGAAAATCTGTGGAGGGAGCTGAAGGTTCGAGTTGCCAAACGTCAGCCTCAAAACCTTAATGACTTGGAGAAGATCTGCAAAGAGGAGTGGAACAAAATCCCTCCTGAGATGTGTGCAAATCTGGTGGACAACTACAAGAAACATCTGACCTCTGTGATTGCGACAAGGGTTTTGCCACCAAGTACTAAATCATGTTTTGCAGAGGGTCAAATTCTTATTTCCCTCATTAAAATGCAAATCAATGTATAACATTTTTGACATGCGTTTTTTCTGGATTTTTTTGTTGTTATTCTGTCACTCACTGTTCAAATAAATCTACCATTAAAATTAAAGACTGATCATGTCTTTGTCATTGGGCAAACATACAAAATCAGCAGGGGATCAAATACTTTTTTCCCTCACTGTATGTAGTTAAAATGTTCCATTCATGTGGACTGACCTGATCGCACAGAGGTCAAACCAAACATACGGTATACATATAACGTAAACTGTTCTTTTTTTGTGACCAACTTTTTATTTACAGTGGGGGGAAAAAGTATTTAGTCAGCCACCAATTGTGCAAGTTCTCCCACTTAAAAAGATGAGAGAGGCCTGTAATTTTCATCATAGGTACACGTCAACTATGACAGACCAAATGAGATTTTTTTTCTCCAGAAAATCACATTGTAGGAAATAAGTATTTGGTCAATAACAAAAGTTTCTCAATACTTTGTTATATACCCTTTGTTGGCAATGACACAGTTCAAACGTTTTCTGTAAGTCTTCACAAGGTTTTCGCACACTGTTGCTGGTATTTTGGCCCATTCCTCCATGCAGATCTCCTCTAGAGCAGTGATGTTTTGGGGCTGTCGCTGGGCAACACGGACTTTCAACTCCCTCCAAAGATTTTCTATGGGGTTGAGATCTGGAGACTGGCTAGGCCACTCCAGGACCTTGAAATGCTTCTTACGAAGCCATTCCTTCGTTGCCCGGGCGGTGTGTTTGGGATCATTGTCATGCTGAAAGACCCAGCCACGTTTCATCTTCAATGCCCTTGCTGATGGAAGGAGGTTTTCACTCAAAATCTCACGATACATGGCCCCATTCATTCTTTCCTTTACACGGATCAGTCGTCCTGGTCCCTTTGCAGAAAAATATCCCCAAAGCATGATGTTTCCACCCCCATGCTTCACAGTAGGTATGGTGTTCTTTGGATGCAACTCAGCATTCTTTGTCCTCCAAACACAATGAGTTGAGTTTTTACCAAAAAGTTATATTTTGGTTTCATCTGACCATATGACATTCTCCCAATCCTCTTCTGGATCATCCAAATGCACTCTAGCAAACTTCAGACGGGCCTGGACATGTACTGGCTTAAGCAGGGGGACACGTCTGGCACTGCAGGATTTGAGTCCCTGGCGGCGTAGTGTGTTACTGATGGTAGGCTTTGTTACTTTGGTCCCAGCTCTCTGCAGGTCATTCACTAGGTCCCCCCGTGTGGTTCTGGGATTTTTGCTCACCGTTCTTGTGATCATTTTGACCCCACGGGGTGAGATCTTGCGTGGAGCCCCAGATCGAGGGAGATTATCAGTGGTCTTGTATGTCTTCCATTTCCTAATAATTGCTCCCACAGTTGATTTCTTCAAACCAAGCTGCTTACCTATTGCAGATTCAGTCTTCCCAGCCTGGTGCAGGTCTACAATTTTGTTTCTGGTGTCCTTTGACAGCTCTTTGGTCTTGGCCATAGTGGAGTTTGGAGTGTGACTGTTTGAGGTTGTGGACAGGTGTCTTTTATACTGATAACAAGTTCAAACAGGTGCCATTAATACAGGTAAAGAGTGGAGGACAGAGGAGCCTCTTAAAGAAGAAGTTACAGGTCTGTGAGAGCCAGAAATGTTGCTTGTTTGTAGGTGACCAAATACTTATTTTCCACCATAATTTGCAAATAAATTCATTAAAAATCCTACAATGTGATTTTCAGGATTTTTTTTCCTCAATTTGTCTGTCATAGTTGACGTGTACCTATGATGAAAATTACAGGCCTCATCTTTTTAAGTGGGGAACTTGCACAATTGGTGACTGACTAAATACTTTTTTTCCCCACTGTAGTTTTGTAATTTTTATTTTACAGGGGGGGGGGGGGGGGGGGGTTACAGGTACAAAAACAATCAAATAAATGCATACAAAGAACCCTGACCCATTCCCCACTCAGTCCCTATCCACCCGCCCGTATCATGCCTCTCCACCCGGAAACCATGCTTCCCACCCCGCCTTCCTTGACTAGCACAATTAATTCTAATGTTATAACTTCTAATAGTAACTGTATCCGCTGGTTAAATGGCAGAGAGAGGTGGTTGCCATCTTAGAATTTAAAAAAAGTCACAGCAGTGCTGCCTTTCAGCAGTAATCTTCTCTGATTGATTGAGAGATTCAAGGGGCTATCATCGTTAAGTAACATAATAGATGGAAAGTATTGAATATTTAAATTCATGCACTTCAAAATGAATGTTGTAACTTTGCCCCAGAAGCATTTACAGTGCCTTCAGAAAGTATGCACACCCTTTAACTTTTTCCTCATTTTGTTGTGTTACCGCCTGAATTTAAAATTGATTCAGTTGAGAATTTGTGTTTCTGGACTACACACAATACCCCGTAATGTCAAAGTGGAATTATGTTTTTAGATTTTTTTTTACAAAATAATAAAAATGAAAAGCTGAAATGTCTTAAGTCAATAAGTATTGATACACCAGTATCCCTTTGTTATGACAAGCCTAAATAAGTTCAGGAGTAAAATATGTCTTCACAAGTCACATAATAAGTTGCATGGACTCACTCTGTGTGCAATAATAGTGTTTAACATGATTTTTGAATGACTACCTCATATCTGTACCCTCTACATTATCTTTAAGATCCTTCAGTCGAGCAGTGAATTTCAAACACAGATTCAACCACAAAGACCTATTGGGAGATGCGTAAACATTTTTTAAAAAGCAGACATTGTACATCCTTTTGAGCATGGTGAAGTTATTAATTACACTTTGGATGGTATATCAATACACCCAGTCACTACAAAGATACAGGCGTCCTTGCTAACTCATTTGCCGGAGAGGAAGGAAACCGCTCAGGGATTTTACCATGAGGCCAATGGAAGCCTGTACAGAATCAAAATATTCCAAAACATGCATCTTGTTTGTAATAAGGCACTAAAGTAAAACTGCAAAAAATGTGGCAAATAAATTAATACAAATACAAAGCGTTATGTTTGGGGCAAACAACACATTCAAGCATGGTGGTGGCTGCTTCATGCTATGGGTATGCTTGTCATCAGCAAGGACTAGGAGGTTTTTTAGGATGGAAAGAAACGGAATAGAGCTAAGCACAGGCAAAATCCTAAAGGAAAACCTGGTTCAGTCTGCTTTCCAACAGACACTGGGAGACCAATTCACCTACAGCAGGACAATAACCTTAAACACAAGGCCAAATATACACTGGAGTTGTTTACCAAGATAACATTGAATGTTCATGAGTGGCCTAGTTACTGTTTTGACTTAAATCTATGGCAAGACTTGAAAATTGCTGTCTAGCAATGGTCAACGGGATACCAAGGTCATATTTTTCCATATTCTGTTTCAGTTTAAGCATGGTTCAGATTCAATTAGATCTGTGGACCATACTTTTTTAATGGCTAGCTCAGAATATGAGCTTTCCAAAAGTTGTTATATACACTGCTCAAAAAAATAAAGGGAACACTTAAATAACACATCCTAGATCTGAATGAATGAAATAATCTTATTAAATACTTTTTTCTTTACATAGTTGAATGTGCTGACAACCAAATCACACACAAATTATCAATGGAAATCAAATTTATCAAGCCATGGAGGTCTGGATTTGGAGTCACCCTCAAAATTAAAGTGGAAAACCACACTACAGGCTGATCCAACTTTGATGTAATGTCCTTAAAACAAGTCAAAATGAGGCTCAGTAGTGTGTGTGGCCTCCACGTGCCTGTATGACCTCCCTACAACGCCTGGGCATGCTCCTGATGAGGTGGCGGATGGTCTCCTGAGGGATCTCCTCCCAGACCTGGACTAAAGCATCCGCCAACTCCTGGACAGTCTGTGGTGCAACGTGGCATTGGTGGATGGAGCGAGACATTATGTCCCGGATGTGCTCAATTGGATTCAGGTCTGGGGAACGGGCGGGCCAGTCCATAGCATCAATGCCTTCGTCTTGCAGGAACTGCTGACACACTCCAGCCACATGAGGTCTAGCATTGTCTTGCATTAGGAGGAACCCAGGGCCAACCGCACCAGCATATGGTCTCACAAGGGGTCTGAGGATCTCATCTCGGTACCTAATGGCAGTCAGGCTACCTCTGGCGAGCACATGGAGGGCTGTGCGGTCCCCCAAAGAAATGCCACCCCACACCATGACTGACCCACCGCCAAACCGGTCATGCTGGAGGATGTTGCAGGCAGCAGAACATTCTCCACGGCGTCTCCAGACTCTGTCACGTCTGTCACGTGCTCAGTGTGAACCTGCTTTCATCTGTGAAGACCACAGGGCGCCAGTGGCGAATTTGCCAATCTTGGTGTTCTCTGGCAAATGCCAAACGTCCTGCACGGTGTTGGGCTGTAAGCACAACCCCCACCTGTGGACGTCGGGCCCTCATACCACCCTCATGGAGTCTGTTTCTGACCGTTTGAGCAGACACATGCACATTTGTGGCCTGCTGGAGGTCATTTTGCAGGGCTCTGGCAGTGCTCCTCCTGCTCCTCCTTGCACAAAGGCGGAGGTAGTGGTCCTGCTGCTGGGTTGTTGCCCTCCTACGGCCTCCTCCACGTCTCCTGATGTACTGGCCTGTCTCCTGGTAGCGCCTCCATGCTCTGGACACTACGCTGATAGACACAGCAAACCTTCTTGCCACAGCTTGCATTGATGTGCCATCCTGGATGAGCTGCACTACCTGAGCCACTTGTGTGGGTTGTAGACTCCGTCTCATGCTACCACTAGAGTGAAAGCACCGCCAGCATTCAAAAGTGACCAAAACATCAGCCAGGAAGCATAGGAACTGAGAAGTGGTCTGTGGTCACCACCTGCAGAACCACTTCTTTATTGGGGGTGTCTTGCTAATTGCCTATAATTTCCACCTGTTGTCTATTCCATTTGCACAACAGCATGTGAAATGTATTGTCAATCAGTGTTGCTTCCTAAGTGGACAGTTTGATTTCACAGAAGTGTGATGGACTTGGAGTTACATTGTGTTGTTTAAGTGTTCCCTTTATTTTTTTGAGCAGTGTATTATAGAGATCAGTCCTTTTGGGGGCCCAGATAATGTTTTTATCAATCCCATCATTGGATGTTTCGGTAGTTGGGTTTCCCAAAGGACTCCATAGGCCAGCATAGCTGACCTAAGTTGTAAATATAGAAACAGGAGTTGTCTGGTAATGTGTATGTGTCTTTCAAATTTTTGAATGTTCTCAAACCATTACTGTCCATGGGTACGGATTCCACATTTGTACCATTGGGGTGGTGCAAAAGGCCGCTCTCCAGATCACAAGGCGTTATAGCGAAATATTGGCGTATGGGCATGCCATGCTGATTCCCAGTTACATTGTTTTTCAATTTTGCACCAAATAGAAATTGTGTGAACATAATCTGTTCTATAGAATTCTAAAGAGTTTTTTAGATGGGTGAAAAATGAAAGTCGATGGAGTCTCATCAGCCTCAAAGACGGATTCTGCTGGCATTGGTACGCTAACACACACACAGCATAGGATGTACACCCAGATTACACACACTAAACAGTATCCCAGCCAAATATTTCACCTGTGACCTTTGAACTGAGGGCAGAGCTGTCAGGTGTATAACCCATCCTCAACCTCTAATCTCCATCTTTCTCCCTCCATCTCTTCTCCCTCCATCTTTCCCTCTTTCTGTCCCTCCTCTCTGTCCCTCCCTCTCTCTCTCTCTCTCTCTCTCTCTCTGGGTGGCAGGGTGCTAATCTCAGATTATTTCTCTCTCATGATTAATCTGTCGTTATGTAATCTTTCTCTGCACAACCCTCTGCACTCCCTTCTTCCCTCCCTCTCACTCTCTGTTCCTCTCTCTCTGACTCTGCAAACAACACTGGAGCTACAGTGCCTAGTGAAAGTCTACACACCCCTTGCACAGTTGTCACATTTTGCTGCCTTCAAATGTAATAACAAAAAGTTTAAAATGAAATGTTTTACCTACTGATCTACACAACCTGCTCCACATTTTCAAAGTGAAAGAACAAGTATAGAAATGTTTCTAAATTAAAAGCCCAGTGCAGTCAAAAACGTGATTTCCTGTTTTTTATATACAGTACAGGTAACTGCCAAAATAAAGGAAACACTTCAGTAAATGAGGTATACTCTGGCTGCATTTAGACAGGCAGCCCAATTCTGATCTTTTTTTCACTAATTGGTATTTTGACCAATCAGATCAGCTCTGAAAAATATCTGATGTGATTGCTCAAAAGACCAATTAGTGGAAAAAAGATCAGAATGGACTGCGTGTTAAGTACAGTGCATTCAGAAAGTATTCAGACCCCTTGACTTTTTCGACATTTTGTTACGTTACAGCCTTATTTTAAAATAGATTAAATTGTTTTTTCCCTTCATCGATCTACACACAATACCCCATAATGACAAACCAAAAACTGGTTTTTATAACTTTTTGCAAATGTATTAAAAATAGCTCTAGGAAGAGTCTGGGTGGTTCCAAACTTCTTCCATTTAAGAATGATGGAGGCCACTGTGTTCTTGGGGACCTTCAATGCTGCAGAATTTTTTTGGTACCCTTCCCCAGATCTTAGCCTCAACACAATCCTGTCTCAGAGCTCTAAGGACAATTCCTTCGACCTCATGGCTTGGTTTTTGCTCTGACGTGCACTGTCAACTGCGGAACCTTATATAGACAGGTGTGTGCCTTTCCAAATCATGTCCAGTCAATTGAATTTACCATAGGTGGACTCCAGTCTCATAGCAGAGAGTCTGAATACTTATGTAATTAAGGTATTTTTTAAATATATTATTTTATACATTTGCAAACATTTCGAAAAACATGTTTCGCTTTGACATTATGGTGTATTGTGTGTAGATTGCTGAGGATAATAAAAAAAAAATCAATTTTAGAATAAGGCTGTAACATAACAAAAAGTCAAGGGGTCTGAATACTTTGTGAATGCACTGTATATTGAAATCAGATGCTTTCACACAGGTGTGGTTCCTGAGTTAATTAAGCAAATAACATCCCATCATACTTAGGGTCATGTATAAAAAGGCACAGTTGCTTATTATTATTTTGGCTACCATGGCTAGAAGAAGAGATCTCAGTGACTTTAAAAGAGGGGTATCAAAGGCGCATTGCGGGTTTAAAGGTCCAATGCAGCCATTTTTATTTAAATATCTAATTCTTTCTAGGTAACAATTAAGTACCTTACTGTGATTGTTTTCAATGAAAATTGTAAAATATAAACTAAAATAGCTTCTTAGCAAAGAGCAATTTCGAAAGCAAGAATTTTGCTAGGACTGTCTGGGAGTGGTCTGAATGAGGAGGGGGAAACTGAAAACTAGCTGTTATTGGCAGAGAGGTTTGGAACTCTCTTACCTGGGCGGCAGGTAGCTTAGTGGTTAAGAGCGTTGTGCCAGTAACCGAAAGGTCGCTGGTTCTAATCCCCGAGCCGACTGGGTGAAAAATCTGTCGATGTGCCCTTGAGCAAGGCACTTAACCCTAATTGCTCCTGTAAGGATAAGAGCGTCTGCTAAATGACAAAAACATTTTTAAAAAACTATTTGTGATGTCACCAGGCAGTCCAAAACTCCATCCCAATCCATCCTAACAGGCTAAATCTGAGGCAGTCTTTTCAAACAACTCTTACAATAAAAGGGCATTATCATCCTTTTCACAATTTCATAGTATTATTGCAACCTCATATGTACTGGAGTGTTGGTCAGGATCAAAATCAATATTAAAGGAGCAAAGCCCAGGTCTTTTGAATACCGAACCCTGGGATAGAGTTGTATTTTTCAGCGGGACAATAAACACATTTTTATGCAAAAGACTCACCAGAATGGCTTTCCAAGAGTGTTCCTGAGGGGTCCAGTCTCAGTCCTGACTTAAATCTGCTTGAAAATCAGAGACAAGCTTTGAATATTGCTGTCCATCAATGACTCCCAACCCAGTTCACTGAGCTTGAGCAATTTTGACTAAAACAATGGATATACAGTATATTGCCCTAAAAGTTGTGCAGAGTTGGTAGAATCTTCTTCAAAATGATTTACAGCTGTAATTGCTGCCTAAGGTGTTTCCACCAAGTATCTGGGGTGAGAAGACATACGCAATCAAGACATCTTTGTTTTTTATTAGTTTTTTATTTTGAAAATGTTCTATAATTTTTCCTTCACTTTGAAAATGTGGAGCAGGTTGTGTAGATCAATAGGGAAAAAAATCAAATTAAATAAATTGTTAGATTTAATTTTAAGGCAGCAAAATGTGACAACTGTGCAAGGGGTGTGTAGACTTTCACTAGGCACTGTACTTGGGTTCAGAACACAAGCACACACACACACTATATCTCCCTATGAGCAGCGGGCGGTTGTAATCTCTCTCTGTGCAGCCCAGCAACTAACAGTAATGGACAAGGACCACTTACTCTACCTCTCTCTCTCCCTCTCTCTGTCTGAATCACCCCTTCATCTCTCATCCTCTCCACCCCTCTCTCGCTCCATCACTCCATCCAAATCCTCCCACACCTACAGACCCCCACCACTCTCCACCACATCAAGGATGAAATGGTTTCACCTACACTGGGATGTGTGTGTGTGTGTGTGCGTGTGTGTGTGTGCGTGCTGTCGGATGGGAATACTACTCTTGCTGTGTGTCTGAACTTTGGGAACCAGGAAGACAGAAATAGAAGCTACAATATCATCCGCTGCACCTCTGGCGTCGCTTAGCAATCATCTCAATACACACACACATACGTTTTTTCTAATATTCTTGCTGTGAGGCAGTATTCTACATCCACTAGTTATATATCCACTCCATTTATATCCACCATATAGGAGCATAATCGAAGTGTCAGATCTCTTACATTTGAATGATTATGAGTTTGATTATTTAATTGTTTCTAAATTGTTCTAGGATCATTTGTGTAACTGTAAATCATTCCTTTTTACATACAATCCACACTCATCCTCAGCATTCTTCACGTCCCTTATGGTGTTCATCTCTGTCTCACTCTCTCCTCTCCTCCATCTCATCACTTCATCCAGAGATGGAAATCCAGCCCCAAAGTTCAGACCTTGGTGAGGATATCACTGTATCCCCCTTTCCCCCCCTCTTCTCCTTTTCTTCTCTCTCTCTCTCCACCTCTTCTCCTCTCCTCTTCTTCTCTCTCCACCTCTTCTCTTTCTCCCTCCTCCTCTCTCTCCATCCTCCTTTCCTCTTCTTCCTCTCCTCTTCTCCTGTCTTCCTTCTCTATCACTCTTTCGATTGTCTCTTACTCATCCTCTCTTCATGGGTCACGTCTCAGTGATTGCTCATTCAGACACAGTCCACCTGAGAGTGTGTGAGAGAGACAGACAGATATGCCAAGTTGCATTGTTACGGTTGTGACATGACAAGCTATTATCCGACTTGGTATGAGGGGCTAGCCATTCTCCCAAACACATAATCGGTTATTGTGTGTGTGTGTGTGTGTGTGTGTGTGTGTGTGTGTGTTTCCTCTCTCTTTTCTACTCTCTAAAGTGTCTGTGTTCTGGTTTATGTTGTTGGTCTTGGTCAAATATTCTACGTTTCAGGTTCCACCAAAACTCCTGATATGCGTTGATATGATTGATGGAATTGGATCGCGGATGTAAGTGGTGGATGAAGAGACCTAATCCAATTCACCTCTAAACCATTTGATCCATTTAGCTTCCAGTTGATCAGACTTGTGGGTAAACAATGTTATATGAGCTGTAGGTTGTCTATCCATCTCTGCTCAATCACTTCTAATACTGCCACACTCTAACCATGCCCTCTGATAGGCTGGCTGCACACTAACCAGACCCTCTGATAGGTTGGCTGCACACCCACTGACTCACAGTATTGATCCTGCCCAGTATATCAGTCCATTGGGGTTGAATGAGTCCATTTCCTGATAGATATAGACCACAGTCATATTAGCCTCAGCGGGGTCATAAACAACCGGATGTTCCGGTTTTCAGGGGAAATGGAAGAAAGAGCCTGTGACACGACTTCCGTTTTTGGACGTTAATAAGGCAACATTCCATCTCAACTCCTCCTCTACATTTACTGGCTTGGTTGAACAGTGCAGAAGAGAACATCCCACAACAGTTTTCTTTTATTCTCGTCAAGACCAGAATGTGGGGGATCTATTTTCAGGCTGCTACGTTAGGTTATAGCCATGTAGACTTGGATCTGATATAACTTCTAGTATATTTGAGAGAGAGAGATGTGAAAGATAGTGGCTTATTTATTATTTAGAGGTAGAGGTTGTCCCTTGGCACAGATATAGGAGTAGGTTTCACTCCCTAAATCCTAAACTTAAAGACGTCCTTCAGCGATTTCTGAACTTTTACTGTTGAAAAGCAATATCCCAAGTATAGATACAGTATAGAACACACACTAAAGGGTAAAAAAAATATTTTTTTTGACAACTGCAAACTTTAAGGAGTTGGTCTGATGGGAATCCGTAATGTCATCGGCCTCCCCCCTTGCTTGAGGAACAACAGAGGAGCAATAGAGAACAGAAGAGGAAAGGCCCACCCCCCACTTGTGCTATGTCGTGACATACCTGGACCACCTATTGAGATGTGTCTTTATTTGAATACATCTGGTGTTAAATGAGGTGAAAAGGAGACTGGAGTGCCACTAACTGTTAAGGGGGAAATTGCATAACTGACCTTAGATCATAGGGTCTAGTCTAGTGGCAACGTCATCATACTCTTTCTTTTTTTTTTACAGATATATAGATAGAAGTGTAGATGGAGAGATAGATGAAAGGAACAGGGTGTAGAAAGTGAGTGACGGAACAGGGAATCTAACCGCTGCCTTCAGGGGCATAATATGTGGTCCGGGCGTGGCAGCGTAACCACAAGACCAGCCTCCGGCATATACACCTTATTTCTAACCTCACCCACATCCTTACACCCAGACCTCTCACTTTCCATGTCTGTTGTGCCATATTTTAACCCATTGTCTTTTCTGCACCGCTGCAGCCTAACAGCACGAGAAACAGCACAGTCACCAGCCCCAAAGGAACCCCCTCTGCTGCACTGGTACACTCCTCCTTTATATATCACTCCATCTCCCTCTGTTTCTATTCAACTTTATTCTCTATTTGTCTCTGTCAGTCTCAATTTCCTCTGTGTTTTTGTTGGTCTGTATCTGTTTTTCTCTCTGTCTCTCTCTCTCTCTGTCTCTCTCTCTCTCTCTCTCTCTCTCTCTCTCTCTGTCTTTGTCTTTGCCTGTCTTAACCCCTCATCACCTACCTGTCAGTAGCGGTTCAGTGTGATTCTTTGCATGTGTGGTTTTGTGTGTGCGACTGTGTGTACATGTCATGGTCAGTCAGATTGTAGTAGCTTTCAGGTGCCATCATCGAGTAGCTACCATGACTAACTGGTTGAAGCGCAGTCACCAGCCATTGCCCTGTGACATTTGGTCTATTTGTGGGTGATAGTGTTGTTGTGTGTCACTCAGGTGTATGTAAATCTGTGTTCTGTTCGGTCTAGTTTGAACTGTGGTCCTCTGTAGCTCAGCTGGTAGAGCACGGCGCTTGTAACGCCAAGGTAGTGGGTTCAATCCCCAGGAACACCCATACACAAAAAAAAATGATGCACGCATGACTGTAAGTCGCTTTGGATAAAAGCGTCTGCTAAATGGCATTTTCTTTCTTTCTTTTAAGAAGATATCCACAACGTATGACCTCCTGGAAGATATGGGTGCTGGTTGACTTTGGGGTTTGATGTGGGTTCATTTTAGGTTCTTGCCAGTGTGAGAATGCGTGGCTATGTGAGACTAGTTTTGTGATTTAGTTTTCTTAGAGGAATTCTTCAAATAACCATTTCCTTCCTTCCATTAACCCTTAGATTTCCCCCTGTGAAAGGGTTATCAATCTCTTTCTCTTCCTTAAATGTAACCAGTCTCTTCTTCTCTCTCTCTCTCCCTCCATATCTCTTTCTCTCTCTTTTTTCTCTGCTCCTACAACCCTGCTCTCGAGCATCCGTATTTCACCTCTTATGTGTCATACCTTTCTCTCTCTCTCTCTATAGGAGCCTCAGACCACTGTTATCCATGTGGATAGGAACAAGGTACATCCTTCTTCCATCCCTCCATCATTTTCTCTACTCCTTTCAGTCCTCTCATCTTTGTCTTCTCTTGCTGGTGTTTTTAGCGTGTGATAGCCCATGCGTGCTTGGATGCGCACGTGTGTGTGAGTGAGTGTGTCAGCGGGCATGCCTGCATGCGTGTCTATCATGACTCCTGGTTGGGGAGTGTTTTGTGGGTTGTAGGTCTGGTCTTTGTGTTTTTTTTTAGGTCTGGTGTGCCTGCATTCCACAGTCATACAGACCTGGGAACAGCAGCTAAATATAATCACACTGACACAAAACTACCCACACTACATTATGTGGAGATATATTGTCCACTATCGCCACCTTTTGGAATTAAATGGAACTGGGCTCTGTTGCGCCATGTCTTGCAAACTCTGGTGGTTTAGACTGGTATAGATCCCTGCATGTATGGGACAGCACACTGGATGTGTGTCATGTTTAAGGTGGACGGCGGGCGAATGTTCTGTTTTGGGTTTGTGTGCGTGTGCGTCTGCATTGATGTGTGTCATTGACAGGTCTCTCTGTGTCTACAGGACTCGTCTGACAGCAACACCACTATTGAGGACGAGGATGTGAAACGTGAGTCTGACACACACACACACACACACACACACACACACACACACAGAAAAGAGGGAGAGTAAAGAGGGAGGAGAGAGGAAGGAATGGAGAAAGAGAGAGGAAGGAAGGGCATATTAGGATGTAAGTATAAGCTCTACTGCTGGGCTACTGAAAGAGAGCAAGAGCGAGGGATGGGGGGAGGGGTAGAGGGAGACGGACCTTCCCTGGTAAGTCTTATCTAGGGACGGGAATAGCATGATGAGCTCAACGTGCCACACATCAAATGAGAGAGGGTAGAGGAAAGGAGAAAGGGGGGGAAAAGAGAGGAGAAAGCGACACAAAAGAGAGGAAGAGAGTAAAAGAAAGAAAGGAGTTCTTCATTGAGGATGAAATACTTTTCCTGGGAAGGTTCTAGTGACTGTAGCCCAGTGAACTATATCTGGTCGAGTCTTTCTATTGGAGAGGTCTTCATTCTGCGAGGCCCTGCTTATACCTCTATGGAGCCCTGAGTGGCAGGACTGTACGTTATGGGTGAGTGTGTATACCATGCTAGGAAAGGGTGTGTGAGTGTACTTATACGAGGCTCAGAGGATGAGAGAGGGAGATAAGAGAGAGCGATAAAGAGAGAGAGCGATGAATGAGAGGATTTACCAACATGAATAGCAAGCCGTCTGGTGAGTAACTCTGCTATGACAACAACCCTCACTCTGTAGTTGAGTTCTGAGTTACACAATGCAGTGTGTGTTTGTGAGTGTGTGACTATGTTGGTATGTGTGAGTGTACACAGTATGTGTGTGAGCTTCTGCTGTGTGTTCAAGTTCAAGAGTGTAATATGTTGTAATGTGTTGCTCAACCGTTTTACTGTCCCGTACCTGCGGCCACTATGTTATTGGTTCACTCTGCAGTGCGAAAACAGGAGATCATCAAGATCACTGAGCAGCTGATTGAAGCTGTCAACAATGGAGACTTTGAGGCCTACGCGTGAGTACACTACAACTCGCAGCCTGAACCTTACCAAATACTACACCTCTGAGGCTGCACCTCACCCCAACACTGCAACTCCCAGCACGCACCTCACTTCACCCTAACACTGCAACTCCCAGCACGCACCTCACTTCACCCTAACACTACAACTCCCAGACTGCACCTCACCCTAATAGTTTCCTCTATATTGTTGTAAGTAGTAAGGTAATTTTCCCAGAGATCAGTGCATTTTAGCTAAGGCAAAATGATGCCCTATTACTCCTAGCCTGCGCCTCACTATAACAAAACAACTCCCATTCGGCACCTCACCATCACCCTACAACTAGAGGTTCTAAACTGAAATTGCTTGGCTGCCATTGTAGCCTAAGCTGTTGTTCTGAGCGGATTTGTTTTGAGCTGATGTGTTGTATTGTGTTGTGTGTTTTCAACAGAAAGATCTGTGACCCATCCCTGACATCATTTGAGCCAGAGGCCCTGGGGAACCTAGTGGAGGGCATGGACTTTCATCGGTTCTACTTCGACAACCGTAAGACAATTATTACACAACCACTACACAACCACTACACAACCATAATAAGACAACAAGTGTAGACAACCGTAAGACAACCACAACACAACCATAAGACAACCACGGCACAACTGTAACAACAAGTGTAGACAACCGTAAGACAACCATTACACAACCACAAACAACAACAGGCACCACAAACAAACCTTTCTCCCCCCCACCACACAACAACTACACAACTATTATACAACCGTAAACAAACCCATCTCTTTCTCCCTCTCCCTCTAGTTCTGTCTAAGAACAGTAAGCCCATCCACACCACCATCCTCAACCCTCACGTCCACCTGATTGGTGAAGACGCCGCCTGCATTGCCTACATCCGGCTCACACAATTTGTCGACGGCACGGGCCGCCCACGCTCCAGCCAATCAGAGGAGACGAGGGTGTGGCATCGCCGGGAGCGCAAGTGGCAGAACGTTCACTTCCACTGCTCTGGAGCACCGGCTGCACCGCTGCAGCAGTGAACTGGTACGCATAAACACACACGCACAAAACCACGTACACTCTCACTCACTCACTCACTGTATACGCGTGTGTGTGTGTGCGCTTTTGTCTTCCAGGAGGAGTAAGAGCCTTCGAGAGGAAAGGGAGAAAGAGAGTTGTAGAGGAAGATGAAGAGAGATGCCTGTCCCCCTCCCACCCCCCACCCCTGCTCCTCCCTCTATCACTGTAGCGCTCTCTAATGGCCAGTGCATGCTACTGCAGCGCAACAACGCACAACCTCAACCCCTCCTGGACACACACACACACGCGCGCACACACACAAGCTGCAGCAGCGACTGCTACTGCAACCATATCAATCCATTACAAATGCCTACAGACTCAAGCCACCAGTCCTGTATTCAAGCTCTTCCCTCTGCTATAGACCCACCCCTGGCACACATACATATAGGATCTACAGTTTAAATCAAGTGTATTACTGTATTATTATTATTTATATTATTACTATTACTACTATTGTTGTTATTATTATTAGTATTATTATTATTAGTAGTAGTAGTATTATTACTATTATTGCTGCAAGTAAGTTGTTGTTGTTATATTGAAACTGTACAATATCTTTAATGGTCCAGTTGAAACTCTTTAAAGTGGTTGTCCCTGGCTTGTTCTTAAAGACAAGCATGACTTCTCCAGTGTTATTCCCACTGATTATTGTTGAGTTGTGCTCCTCCAGTGAAGTCAAATTTTTACTTCACGCATACCAAAATTAGCTACGCAAAAAGGTGTTACAATTTGCGTGCTTGCATTTTTTCCTGCTTATTTTCATGATGCAAGTACTAAGAACAGACATTTTTCGTAGCTAGTTGCGTACTTGTGTAAAGTTTAAGTTAGGCTTAAGGCTGCTTCCTACCTGCTGTATGAACTGACCACACAATCCACAACAAACCCACTGGATTAGTGTAGTTGTGTGTTTTTCCCCACTGTTTTGCTTGTCTTTTATTCTGAAATATGGAAACCGGCTACCCTCTAATGAACTATATCCTCCCCCACCCCCACCCCACCCCATCGGCGCGAGAAGACGATGCAGCATGTACCTTTCTGTATTGTTGTTCTTATACTTGATTCTCTGAGTGTTGAGCATTGGAAATAATCACTGACTATACCTTACATTTTAAATGATTACACACTATATTGTACAACTACAGTTTAATTGTGGTGACTATAATGCGTTGTTTGCATGAATTTGAAACATGACGATAAATGTAGTGTTGTTGTTCGTTGTGTGGATTTTTTACTGAATGCTGGTGATCTATGAACTCCTATGTCTATTTTCGGAACTTTGTAAAGTGCATCAAAGTATTTTTGTCTGGAGACTATACCGTGATGATGATGATGATAATGATGACATGTGTAATGATGAAGATGATAAACATGCTTTTGTACAGGCTCTACTGCTGAGGCAGAGTGGGTTGGTTGGTTGGTCACTAACAGTGTTTCATATGGTTATTGGTTTGAATTTATTGTGAACAGATTTGGTACCTATATATATCCAGGGGCATCATTTATAAAATGTTAGTACGCATAGATTTGATCATAAATTGTCCGTCTGGAGAAATCCACATCAACGATGTGATGACAATATGCAATTTACATAGATTTTGCATTAAGTTTTGTGATTTATAAATGAAAAGTGCTTTTTTGTGAACAACTATTTATGGGTGTCGACATTTCATCATATTTTAAGAAATGATTGTACAATTGTATGATGGCAGAAATGTAATATAACAAATAAGAACTTTTATAAATGAAGCCCCAGGTCCAGGGGACCCACAGGGTGTGCACTGCAGGCTTTTGTTCCAGCCCAGCACTAACACACCTGATTCACCTAATCAAGGGCTTGATCGTTAGTTGATGAGTTGAATCGGGTGCATCAGTGCTGGGCTGGAACAACAACATGCACATTGTGTGGTTCAGTTGAGTCTACCAGTATGTAATGTCCCTCCGTTCCTGTTGACTTGCCTTGCTTTGCTGTCTGGCAATGCACTTAACCCTAGGGGGAGCCACCATATACACTGAAGCGCTGCACCTTTATCTACAAGGTTTGGAAATTGGGTTAAAAATTAGGGCTTGTCCTAAGACTTGTCCTGGCATACACACACTTTAAGGCCCCAGTCACACACAGGGCCATGCACTTTGTGTCTTTCCAGTAGTCCTTTACCTGTGTAGTCTCAGTAATGGGATCAGTGCTAATCAGGCCTGCTAACACCTTCAGGTTAAGGTCACTCAGAGTGATGGCATTACCTCACACGGTCAATGATGAAATGAAAACTCTGTGCGCGTATATTCATCCTATCCCACTCTAGTTACATAAAGCCAACCGCTCCAGTTTTAGTAGAGTCCTGTTAGTCGTAACCTTCATTTTAAGTCTCCTCTGTAGAGAGTCAACTATGGGCTTGCCATCAGACTCACATCATCCACTTTCACAAGATGAGTTTGTAAATGTGAATCCAATATTTATCTTCTTGGTTCTTCTTCATTGACGATGAATTCTGTTCTTCCAATTAGCATTTCTTGTGTTCTATAACAATGACGTGTGTTGAGGTGTTATACAATATGTTACCAATAAAGAGAACTCCTGTCAGTGCTAAGATCAGCTGTGTCTGGATCTCTTCCTGACACCAAGGGAAACACACACACACACACATGTCCTAAATCATATTGGGAGCAGAATAAGCACTATTGGCTCAAACCTTGTGTGTGTTTTTACACTTCCTCTTCCTGTTATAATGTAGGGAGGTCAAATAATGAAAAACGATCTACCAAATCTATTCATTTTAAAATGTTGATTACTTATCCTTGCCATTATCATTCACCTGATAAGTCAAGATGTGATTTATTTATTTTTTGCTAACGTATGAATTAAAGGTCCCTGGGTCACCGGTTTTCCTGGGAGGGGGTCCCTGGGCAAGAAAAGGTTGAATACCCCTGAAATAGGTCATTGATAACATAAGCTGGAATGGAACAGTGAATGCCTGACAGAGTTTAGTGTGAGGAACCTGACCATGCCCAGTTTATCACCAATATAAGACAATTAAACTCCTTATTATTCCATATTATAAGCTACACTTGTACACACCTATTTTAATACTTTGTTACTATATCATTATTAAAGGCTACATTGCAAATGTTTTGTAGCACAAAGTTACACTTACTGCTGTTAAAGGTCCAATGCAGCCATTTTTATCTCAATATCAAAGAATTTCTGGATAACAGTTAAGTACCTTACTGTGATTGTTTTCAATTAAAGTGGTCAAAAAGAAACAAAAATAGCTTCTTAGCAAAGAGCAATTTCTCAAACAAGAGAAACTGTCTGTGAGTGGTCTGAGTTGGGAGGGGGAAACTGAAAACTGGATGTTATTGGCAGAGGTTGGAACTTTCTTTTTTATATATTAATTAATTTACCACCTGGTGATGTCGCCAGGAAGGCCAAAACTTCATCCTACCAAAACAGGCTGACATTTCCAGCCGTTCTTTTCAAACAGCTCTTACACTGAAAGGGTATTATCATAATTTTCACAATTTCACAGTATTATTCCAACCTCATAGTGTGGAAGCACATACAAAACACAGGGAAACATTTATGACAGAAAAGCGTATGTTTTTCTGCCCAAATATACATTCCCAGTGGGCGAAAACTGTGAAATGTAGTTGAATCAACGTGGAAAACTGATTGGATTTGCAAAAAGTCATCAACGTAAGGGAATTTCGATTTTTTCCCCCAACGTCTATCTGCAGGCTGCTAGCTAGCTAGGGCACACCGGTAGACGGTGTCCTTCGCCCCCGCCTGCCAAGCACTGCTTTCAAGTTCTGTTAATGTTACGGCGAGGGAAGTAGCTAGCTAGCTAGCTCGGACACTGGTACGCCACAGATAGAACAATTAGACAGATGTTTCACTGGATGTATAAATCTGAAGCATCCGGTTGGCGTTTCCACTCACCACCAAATATGGTGATGAGAGGAAGCCCAGTGGCCTGCAGTGGGTGAAGATGGAGCTAGATGGATTTTGGCCGACATTCTGCTAATTTTCTCATCGATGAATCTCAATAGAGTTCTCTGTTCCTAAAACTAGAATCTGTTATGAACAGAGTGGACTACGTTTTGTAGACTTTACCCTTTATCAACGTTTTTTAAATGGTGTTGTTTAGGAGTGCAAGAGTGAATTATTACTACTGCCTGGAATAGAGATGGCGCTGGAGAAGATGGCTTTGATGCCGTTTTACAGCCCTCTAACCAATTGTACTATTATGTGTGTTTTTTCGCGTTATTTGTAATTTATTCTGTACATAATGTTTCTGCCATCGTCTCTTATAACCAAAAAGAGCTTCTGGATATCAGGACAGCGATTACTCATCTCGTATTGGACGAATATTTTTTCATCAACGAGTCGGACGCGAAGGATATCCTACAGACACCAGACAAGGCCCAAATCCCCGTCATTCGCAGGAGAAAGAGACTGCGATATCGTGGACGTAGGTTGGGGTGCCTTGTAAGGATCCGACGGCGAGCGAGTAAACTGCCTCTTCCATCAATCCTATTAGCCAATGTTCAATCATTTGAAAATAAATTAGATGACCTAAGATTACGGTTATCCTACCAATGGAACATTAAAAACTGTAATATCTTATGTTTCACAGAGTCGTGGCTGAACGACGACATGGACAACATACAGCTGACGGAATATATGCTACATCGGCAGGATAGAACGGCTGACTCCGGTAAGACAAGGGGTGGCGGTCTGTGTATATTTGTAAACAAACAATAGCTGTTGCACAAAATCAAATACTAAGGAAGTCTCGAGGTTTTGCTCGCCTGAGGTAGAGTATCTTATGATAAGCTGTAGACCACACTATTTACCAAGACAGTTTTCATCTATATTTTTCATAGCTGTCTATTTACCACCACAAACCAATGCTGGCATTAAGATTGCACTCAATGAGCTGTATAAGCCAATATACTAAACAGGAAAACGCTCATCCAGAGGCAGCGCTCCTAGTGGCCGGGGACTTTAATGCAGGGAAACTTACATGCATGTGCTCATCAACATTCCCAACATGTCCCTGACTGAGTCTATAATACCAACATGTTTCAAGCAGACCACCATAGT